AGATTTTAAAATTGATACACGGATATGCCGTATATTTTCTCATGTGCTTGTTATAGCATTGGAAAAAGGGAAGAGAAATGGATATGACCAATTATTATTTTTAGAACTGAGACAGAGTAGCGCACTTGTATTGCTGTATTTATTTGTGGTGGAGTGTTGCTATAATGGAAAATGATAAATAAATATTAAGTGTGCTATTTTATATTTGTTGAATTACAAATAACCTAACCCCCCTTTGATTTTCTCAAAGAAATATTTATTTTGAAGAGTGCTTCCAGATATAATGGGCTCCTAACTGATCATAAAGCACCATAAAGCTTTAACTTCTCTGCTTGCTCTGTAAAAACTAAAAGAATAGAAATTGAATCTGTATTGCATAGTGCTGCATTGTATCGTATTATATTCCTTGTTACTATTTATTGTACTTTAAACGTGAAGGCTCTTTGGAAATCATTGGATTCTCACCCAGGCTAGATATCTCCAGAACAGAAAGGAGGCTATTTGTTGAAACAGCAGAGTCTGATTCTGCTTTTAATCTTAGGGGTTCAAGGATAGCTTTGTATTATGTACATTGCCTTTCCATGAAATGGATAGTGGCAGTTATGATTGGTCCATGTGACTGGAAAAGGTGTTGATAACATGATTTATGAGCAGCCAAGCCCTGTAGCATATATATCCCATTAGGGCACATCAGAGAAGGTAGCAGTAGGCTCTCTACTTAGATTATTGTGAGCCCATGTTTAGTTGGGGGGGGAAACCCTATGGATCTTTAATATGATCTTTGAGGGCAGGGGAATACAGGCCTACTATTTCAAAAACATATACTGCCCACTTAGATAGATCTGTTGGAGCCTGGATATCAAGCTGAGGGAATAGCTGCAAAGATTTCAGGGTGCAGTGAATTCACAATATGGCTTTTCAAAGAAAAAGGAATAATTATATTTGTTTTATATAGCATGCTCTTTCAGCCACAATTTTTTTTTCAAGGATACTTTTGATCTTTGATAATTGGTTACAATCTACATTTTGTTTTCTTTTACCAGTTTCACTTTTGGTTTTTTGTTCTTTCCAGATGTTGTTAGTTATTCTCCATCCCTCTAGTGCACTTTATCCTTTCCTCATATCCCTGACTTCCTTTTTTGCTTTCCCAGTTTTTAATTACAGACTAACTCAAATTCCCGAAAACCTATACATTACTTAATTGGCAAAAAATCCTCCAATTAGCTTTCACCTTTTGTGATGGCAATTTTTAGTCTGATCTATCTTGAAAGGCTGACAATATGTAAGGCTTCCTAATTTTATATAATAAAAAGACATCTAACCATCTTATGTTCACCTGGGAATATGTAGGAGTCACATGCAGTACAAAGCAATATCCCATAGATTTGTAGAGTTGGAAAGGGCCATTTAGGCCATCAAGTCCAAATCTATGCTCAATACAGGAATCCAGATTAAAGCATTTCAGACAGCTCTCCAGTCTGCACTTGAATTTTAAAGGAAATTAGATAGCATGTCAAAGCTTAAGGTATTTGAAAACTACTATCATCAAAAAGTCAATATTTTACAGAGTAGATATACTAGTTTCTTCACTTTCTCTTCACAGAGCTTAATTTCTAGTCCCTGGTAACACATTTCATACTTCTCTCCAGTTCTCTGAGGAAGCAAATTTCATGCCAGTTATCTATCCACTTAATTGTCATGCAAGCCCAACCTTTGCTTAACTAGCTTGCTAATCAATATGAAATGGGATATTGTCAAATATGTTGCTGAACTGAAGATATATAATGTCCCACAGTCTATCAAGGAAGTTTCCCAATTAAAAAGTTAGATAAGATTAATTTGGCAAGATTTGTTCTTCTCAAATCCATATTTTTTTGGTAATTCTGGTTAATGATGTACTGATTTCTTTATGATCTGCTGCAGAAACTTTTAAGTATTTTGATTGATTTTTAATTCCCAGGATACTTCTTTTCCTTTCTGAAAATAAGAAATATGTTTACTTGTCTCCTGGATTTCTCCAAAACATACATAAAGATTTAGCCAGAGTATCAACTTTTTTGATTTCCCTAGAACATAATCCTTCTGAACCTGTATATTAAACTCATTCTAAGTAAACTGGAATTCCTTAACTATTGTTTCAATCTGTCTCAAGCTTCACAATGCACATCAAACAACTGGAGAAATTTTCACGTGCACACGCTCCACTCCACCCTTGGCCTTCATTGACAACACTGTGTCTCCAACTTGGAAGTCCTGGATTGTGTGGAGTCCACTAGCATTGTGTCTCTGATTATCAGAGCCCAAACATCATCAGAATGGACAATCACAGTAAGTTGCCAGAGAAAAATATTGAAAAGTGGAACTACAAATGACAGGCCAAGAGAATGATTTTGAAAAGGACATTTTATTGGATGTACAAAACAAACTGGATGCAGTTTTAAAAATTAAAAGGGAAATGCAATGCCAAATCAAGAGAATGACATGGAAAATGTTTTCTTATTGGGTCTACAAAAGAGACTTATTAAATCTTCATGGGATGGGATAAAGAATTGAAGAGAAATCAAATCCTATGACAATATTGGATTGAATTAAAAATTAAAATTGTAAGAAATAAAACGGAGGAATATAAAGTTTGCTTAGATGATTCAAGATAAAATAAGACTGGGGTGGTTTTTTTGTATTATGACAACTCTTTAAGAATTTTTTCCCCACAGCGGGATTGAAAAGTTGATGTTTTATGGACTTACTTATAGATAAGAGATGAGATGTGAGATGAAGAGATATCTGCTTGTAATCTTAAAGGAAGTAAAGAGATATTAAATCTATTTGTACTTGTTGGAGGGATTTTAATAATTTTATTAAGAATTATATTAAACAGATAAAACGAATACAAAAAAACCTAATACAAAATATATTTTAAAAAGAAAAAAAATAAAGTGTTGGAAAAATATCTCCCTCCCCCAAAAGGAAGCAGTAAGAAAATGAAATGTTCCCCTTCATCCCCAGCAAGTATATTCAACATCAACAATATTTTACTGTCTCTGAAAATAGAGCCAAATTCACATTCATGCCATATCTCACCTTATTTTCTATTAACTTATTTCTAAAATCTTGCATGCCCCACTCTGAAGCCCCTGGAGTCAGCTTTTCTCATCATCCGAGCTGGCATCTGGGGAAGCCATTACACCAGTTAAGATAATCATTAAGCACTACAAAACATAGCAACTCATTAAAAAGATAAAGATAAAGGTTTCCCCTGCCAGCCATGTCCAACTCTAGGGAACACTGCTTATCTCTGATTGACTGCTTAAAAGCCAGCGTTGCCCGAAGATGCTTCCATCTTCCTGTGGCCAGCATGACAATATGCCGAAGGCACCTGGAACACTGTTACTTTTCCACCAAAGTGGTACCTATTTATCTACTTGCATTTGCATGCTTTTTAACGGCTAAGTTGGCAGGAGCTGGGACAAGTAATGGACGTTCACTCCATCACATGGTACTTAGGGCTCTGATTGCCAACTTTTGACAAGCCCAGTATCTTAACTGCTCAGCCACCACACCCCTTCAACAACTTATAATTAAATGAACTGATTTTATTTTATTTTATTTTCACCAACCATCCTTAAATCCCATAGATAAAATTCCAAGTCTTGTTTTCTTCTATTATCTTTGATTCTTCTCTTGAAATCTTGTTATATTTATCCATTTGTAATTTCTGTATAGTAACTCCAGTAGATCTCTTATACTTCAGTTTAAAAGGGTAATCACTCTTTTGATACATTATTTGTATGTTCTTTTAGTTTCTAAATGAACATCCAATTTTATTTTTAAATCCAGTATTTCCATCTCTTACAGGCTATAATTCTTATGTCCACCTTAAATCTATTTCAATTATCTTCAAAGAAACTTGTTCATCCTCAATAATAACTTTTGATTCTAGTATAGAGTTAAAAAGCCCAAACACTTCTTGAACCCACAGATAAAAAGTTTCTTTTAAAGTAGCTATCTTGTGCTCTCTAGTAATCAACCTTCATAGTTTGTTTTGTTTGAAATGTAAATAAGACATTTTTTCCCACATAACAGGATCTTTTTACTTAACTTTAAAGTTTTTCTTTAAATATATTTCATCCAAAGCCTTAGCATTCAAAAAAATTCTTAAAAAGTGTTCAAAAACATCACAAAAACTCTACAATCACTCTTTATATTGCAAAAAATTGCAAAAAATAAAACAAAGCTAGAAACACTCATTTTTTTAAATGGATTGAAAAGTCACCCAGTGACTAGTAAACTTGCAGTTTTGAAGGTTTTGTTTATGTTTGTTGTATTGTTAAAAAAACATGTTGTATTGTTAAAAAAACAACAAAGAAATTAAAGTTCCAAAGTGATTAAAAAGATGATTTGACTTGAGTTTATGAAAGTCTGCATTTATGGCTCAGAGTATGGTGGAACCCGCAACTCCCAGTTGATCACAAGTAGCTGCAGAAACATTGGTTCATGAAAAAAAAAAAAGCTGCACATATGTACATATTGGTAAACTCCAGTGCTCTTTTTGTTCCAAAGAAAATTTCAGCAGTCTGAATTTTGCATCCAGCCGCCTTTTTGGCCATAATGTCCCCTGTAATCCATGGAGCAGAAAAAATGTGAAACATTAACCTGTTGTCATGAAGGATGGAAATACGTCCTTTGTATATTTCTATTCTTTTTTAAAATATTTTTTTCTTCCCTTTTTCTTCCTTTTTCGTCACTATTTATATTTTTCACATTGTCTTCTCTTTCTTTAAGTTTAATTTGTATTGGTTTTTACTATTGTACTTAAAACTTTTAATAAAAATGTATTAAAAAGGTTAAGTGAGGTTCACATATGGCCCCCTCAGCTTGTGCATCTTGACTGGAAGACATCCTTTGGAATACCTGATTGTGTTTCTTATCTTGTTCTCTATTTCCAGCAAACCCTTCCAATTCCAAGATCTCTGTACAGACCCAAGTTATACCTAAAATACTTTGGGTTAACTGCATTTATTAGAATCAGTAATACAACATGCTTTTACATTGAACTTTGGCCAGCATAATTCTGCTTTGGAAGTTTGCTCTGTTATAGACCATTAGCAAAACAAAATAAATGTAAAGTAAGTAGTGAAGCCAAGTCGAAACTGCAAATCAGGAAGGCCACTCATGCAAGTTATTTGCCAAAGCTTAATGTACTACATAATGGAAAGATAGTAAGAGTCCAGATTTTGATTCTTCATATAGATGCCAACAGGAAAGATTGTTCTTCTTAATCTTTAAATAAATATCTGGTGCATTCTCCATCTCCCTTCCTCCCCATTACATTTTCTTGACAGTAATACACTATCTTCTACTCTTTTAAGGTGAAGTCTTTTCATTTTAGAGATGAATGGTTTTGAACCTTGCTTATCTTCTAAGCCTGCTTATTTCCTTCAAAACTTTCAAGACGCACTGAAGTCTACACTGATACAATACTTTGGTTATGTCACACATGAAATGAGGGCCATATAAGTAATGAAGCAATAGTTCAGAATATTAAAAAACTACATTTATTCTTGTCTAAATTGACACCAATTTAGCATTTAGCAAAACAGCACCAATTGTTGCTTTTTTGTTTAAAAAAAACCCATTAAATTTAAGCTTAAATCGGGGAGGAGCCAAGATGGCAACACATTAATAACTTCTAAAATAAGTTCTTGGCTTATGACAGTCCTTACCAATTCTGGCTTAAGCTAACACCTTCAAAATGTCACCTAAGAAGAGAACCCTGAGACGGCCCAGCAACATACTAGGACCGATAAATCTTACAAAGCAGAAAAAGAAATGAGGATCAACTCTTATCTCTCCACGACAGAGGCAACTAAAAATGTGAGTAATGGATCTACTACCCCAGGACCTCTTTCACCTTCAAGGATTATAACAACACAGATCTCAGCCATAACACACTAACAGCCCTTCAAAGGCTCTGCCCAAATCATCCCCTGGAGCAGAGAGATAACTTTCTGGAGAAAGTTCCTATAATAACTGTATCACTAAATCTTTCTAAGAGGCTTGTCTTTTGTCTGCAGAAACATTGATTTTTATATTGCAATGATTAAATGAAATTGCAGCCAAGGTTGACAGTTTCCAACAAGACTTGGATCTACAAATCCCCCATGGCAATCGGGGTTAAAATGACAGCAGGGACCAGCCACCTCAGAACTTTGGTAGCTGGTGTCTTCAGGCATCCACCACTTTGTGCTCCAGAAAATCCTCCTGGAAATCCATTGGAATGGTCACAGATGGATGGAACCTTACCTGGGAGGTGGGGGGAGGGCAAAAAGGGAAAACAAAGAGCAAGTCAATTATATATTTCCTTATTTTTCCGCTAAAAAATATTGGAAAAGCTATGACAAAGGAAAAATCATCTTCCCTTCCATTATTAACATTTTTTAACCTAATGTAACCAAACTGCTCAGTACTCATTTAAGTTGTTCAGAACTCATTTAAACAAATGCAAGCAAGTGGACATAATAGTTATGCAGTCAAAATGAATTGGTACAAACTCATGATATCCATCTGATTTCTGCAGTAGGTACATTAGTGCTGTGCTTAGACTTTTATTTTTATGCTAAAGCTTTGGGTTTTTTTTATAAACAGAGAACTTAGTGACTTTGTTAAATTTAATTCTGCTATTTTCAGGTGTTTCCCTAGCCCAGTGATGGCGAACCTTTTAGAGACTGAGTGCCCCAAAACCACCCCCGCTGCCCGCAGGGCTACTCATCGCCTCGACAGCCCACCACATATCGCCCAGGCAGCCCAGCAGCCCCAAGGTGGCCATGCCCTCCACCCGCGCCCCGCAGCATCATCTGCATGACACGGGCCACGCTTGGGGGCGACTCTCCTCTGGGGGCTGCTGGTGAGGAGGGGGCCACTGGGGGAGGTGGGGCTGGGGCGATGGCACGCCTGCCCACAGAGAGGGCTCTGAGTGCCGCCTCTGGCACGCGTGCCATAGGTTTGCCACCACTGCCCTAGCCTGTCAAAACCATTTTGTATTTTCTCTTTTCTGAAATGTTAGTTATCACTAATTTTATATCATCTGCAAATTTGATAAAAATTCCTCATTCAAATAATTAACAAAATGTTGAAGAGTACTGTACCCTGAACTTAGTTGAACTGTTGTGCTCCACTTAGTACCTCACTCTATTTTGATAAGGAAGTATTGATGAGTAACTATATTTTGATGAGTAACTATAGTTATGGTGCAGTTTTCAAGTCAATTGATCTATCTATCTATCTATCTATCTATCTATCTATCTATCTATTCATTTATGTGCAGTTTTCAAGTCAATTGTTTTGTTTTGTTTATTATTTATTTATTTATTTGTTTGTTTGTTTGTTTAGCCAATCTTTGCAAAGCAATTCTGAGCAGCATTATCTAATACAAAGAACTGAACTGAGTTAAAATATTTGTTCCCTATCATAAACATTCACCAAACTAGGGCATATTTCTTAGTTGGAAAATAATGTTCAAAATTCTGCCAGATCTGTTAGTTCAGCAAGAGTTGAGAGGATAGACTGATCTCATATGAATATTATCATTCATTCAGGTCTCATTGGACTCTAAACTTTAAGTGTTATGTGAAGCCAGAAATACAGAGATTGAAAAACAATTTCATTGGACATTCATATCTTTAAAAAAACCTTTGTGCCTTGAATATTATTTATATAATAAATATTGTAATAATAAAAAGAATATTTTTGAAACCATCATTATCTTCAAATTGACTTGGCAAACACATGTAGAATACAGTTAAAAAGAGATAATTGCCACTGACATTACTTAATAGCACGTGAGTATACATGAAGAATGTATATAATATTTTAACAAAAAAACAGCATTATTGGAAGCGAGAAGCAACATGGTATAAACCTGTGGAAAAAAGCAATTGGTCTTAAGGAAAAAAAACATGTCTGTGTCAATAAAACCTATGGTTTGAAATGCTTTCAGATAGCACACATGGCAAAACCTCATTTATGTGGTCGTTAGGTCCAAAGAAAATTAGGAACTTTCACATGGTTTTCAGGTCTTGCTGAGTTCAATTCCTGCAGTTTCATGGTACCATCTGATTAATCTTGAGACAACATTTGGATCTGAAGTCTTTGATACCTTGTTTTAAGGTGTGAACACCAGATTTTATTTTTATTTCTCCTTACCAAAATTTTTTAAAGCACTACATAAAAAAGAGTAGATTTAGGAGTACAGTACTTAGTTATATTTTAGTTCTGTTAAGTAAATAGGAAATGTTAGTCATGATTCAAGGAAAGCTAATGAAAGTGTTGAATGTTTACCAATAGACATTGACCTATATTTTTTGCCACATCCATTTTCTATCCTTATGGTGTGAATGAACTTAAGGATGACGTAATTGTTATATGTATTTATTCTAAAACTCAAGACAAATATTTCATTTTCAAAGATGGACTGCTAGAAATTCCAAGTGGGTATTCCTCTTGGGTGGCCCACTACTGGTGTGGGATATTGATCTTTAAAGTCAATGTTAGTTGTATAAGGTATTCTTTATAGAGGAGTTTAAGTATTTATGAAATATATTTTCACAATATAATATTTTACATTAGAGCATGTTTTCCTTTATAGTAATTATATTTTAAGCAAGATAAGCATTTTTGTAGCAGTTGTTTTATTCTCTAGGATAGAAGGAATCAAATAGATAATCTTGCAGACATTTCTGGCTTGTAAATCCCATAATTTCTATCAGTCATGTTGGTTAGTATAGTTGGAAATGTAGTTCATCTGGATGGCCACATTTTGCCCATTCTAGGAAGAGTTCCCTTAGTAAAATAAATATGGACAATTTATGAAAGATTGGAGTTTCCTATCCTACAGTGAAGTGGTATCTTAGAAGGAAACAAAAATGTAAATTATATTCAAAAACCTGCAATTGATCTACATACAAACAACTTTAATTTGCTTGACCTTAGCTTTTATTCTCTTAGAAATTATAATAATGTAAGCAGCAGTAAACAGAAGCCAAATGATATGCTGTAACAGCACAACAAGACAGTATAAACAAGTGGATTTTAAATCTTTATTCTGAAATTAAATTAAAAATTGGGGTAATTACAGTACAAAAATCTTTTTACCTGATTGATCGATACATCATGAAATCAATTGTTGTACATCTAGGAAATTTACCAATAGAACTTTCTTCAACTGGTGTATAAACCTTAATTTGTCGCATATGTGTATCTCTTCCATTCTGATGATTGGCTAAAACTGCAATCTGAATCATAAATGTGCGAATAGGTTTCTTATGGGTGTCAGTTAAAGGAACATGAATCCAACCACTTGGCTCCACTAATTCAAGTTGCTAGAAAGGAAAAGAGAAGTGTGTTAGGGGAAACACAGAGAGAAAGAAATTAGTTAGAATTAGATTCAAATTATTTCTTAGCATGGCAATAAAATTAATATCTAGTCCTTCAGGAATTTGGCAGATATAGATACTTTTTTTTCAATATGCTATAGACACCTCCTTTAGTAAATATACTCCTGTACTCTCCTCCACATGGTTAATGAATTTACAAGTCACAAAGGTGAACCTCTGCAATCGTTCATGTTGCATAACTCAAGTTGTTGCATTTTAATGACATGTTATTTTTGTGACACCAGCATTAATACGCAACGGTAAGGCAAAATTCTTCCCATGAAAATGGTCCTAGTAGTGAACACACTGTTTGATGCCTTGTAAACAGATTTTGCAAGAAAGGCTAACAAACCCATATAACTCCATCCATAACTTAGAATTACATGTAGGATCTCTGACTAATTTTTCTAGGTATCAAAAATCAAGAATTATGCCTTCTGACTATTGTTTGTTCTGTGATTTATTTGCAGCAATATTATGTTGGTTTGTGAATAGTGCCTGTTAGCATGTTGTTTTTTTCATAATTTAACTAAAATATTGAAAATTGTAGCTTTATGTCCAGTAATACATTTCATAAATCATATCTGGATTGTAAATAATGTTTTGCAACCATTTAAATTTATATAGGTGATAGCAATTAGAGTGTATAGCATGTCCACAGGGATAGCCATGCTATAGCAAAGTGTTAAAACTCAGATGTTAGCTGGAGAGAGGAAAGTAAGTCTTTGATTCAAATTATAAATCTAAAAATAAGATATTAATTAAAATCAGTAATAAAAAGATTAATTTCTAAAAAAAACACAATATTAAAAGTAATAACATTCAGGTTTACTTAAAAGGTGTCATGTAATTCACTACAATGTGTATCTAGAAAGCTGGATACAGAATACACGAAGCCTTCTTTTTAATTTAAGTTGATTTTTAAAAATTAGATATCATGGTATGATGATACTTTATTAAAATCAATAGAATAGTCACAAAATTGTATGTATCAGGTTTAAATTTATAATTAAATGAATGGAAGGTAAGTTTCCCATTGCCTCACAATCTACACATCCACCTGCACTTCTTCAATGCTATCTCTAATTGGTTAATGGATGGATTTTTAGTGGAATGGATTGGACAGAAGTCCAGACGTCCAGCCAATTTTGAGTTATGTACTTCTCATCCAGCAGTCCCCAATCTGTACTATTATATCTTCTTAAGCAAAATCCCTTGACCATCCAGATATATTTTTGATGGATCATTAGAATCACTGCTAATGTAACTGGAGTTCCTCATTACAACCAGTGGCACCCAACCAGAAAATGCTGCTCACCTATCTATTTATTGCAGCAATTGTTCCTTGATATAGAAGTTTTACATTCAGGCTAGCTTTTGCATTCTGAATTGTTTTAAGTCCCTTAAACCCAGTTTAAACATGCTGCTATGTAATTTCAAAACTGGAACTGTCAACACATAAAGATGCAAATTTTGAGTGTCTGCCATTTCTTTGCTTAGGAAGGAAGAGAACAAGTTAATAGCAAATGATGTACCAATTCCAGCAAGAAAATGAAGCATATCCAAGAGAAACTTCAGAAATTCCAAGTGAGTCAAAAGGAAGAACACCACAGGAGAAACTTTATGAGAAACACAGAAATTAGCTCAGTCAAAGGACTTACTGTAAAGAGGCAAGCTCATTGGTCTAGAGAAGTAACGACCACCTAAGTAGGTGACTGTGTGGCCCTCAGTCACCTCCTGTAAATGGTCTAGATATGGCTAATTCAGAGCGCTAAATCAGAAAAGCTTTCTATCCGCTCAAGACGCTAAAACAGACATTCCTGAATAGTCTACAAAATACACCCAGCCACAAATAAATGCCTAATGTGACTGTAACTTTAACAATTTTAAAGAAAACATTTAATACATGAAAGAACATTAAAATTAACAGTGTTATGGAAGGACATTGGTCAACACATTCCAATAAAGTTTTAAAGGAGATGGGGGGAACCTGTGGTTCCCCATAAACTGGTAAACTATAAGTTCTACCTCTCCTCAACATGATATAGGGCCAGCATGACAGCTTAATAACTGTTTTAGAGAATGGGAAATTCTGTTTTATATAGGGCTTCTTTCAAACACAGAAGTAAGTTAAAATGTTGTGGAATTGGCTAAAGTTGTGTTTTACAAGTTAGACAGCCGAGTACATTTTTAAACAAATAAATGGGATCAAGTATAGACACCTATGATTATGTATGTTGCTATGTACAAGCATAGCAGAAATGGTTGCATAATACTTTTCCCATGTAGGAAAAGAATGTGATGTATCATATTGTGATACAAATTAAATATAAATTAAAATGTGAAAAGTATTAATGGTATTAAAAATCTAATTTCCACAGAATAATTTCTAAATTAAGAAAATCACACTCCCCAAAGTGGTAACTAATATATACAAATACAATAATGAATTTTAGCACTGTTAATTGAACCAAAGAAGAGTTATTAAATCAATTGACTATCAGCTAAGTTCTTGAGAAGTTAATACCATAGAGCAGGGGCGTCAAACTGCTGGCCTGTGGGCTGGATGCATCATGGCGAAACTGCACCCACCCCATTGCCGGCAATGGAAAAAAAAAGTCACGATAGGTCACAACACGTCACATGACATTGCGAGTTTGACACCCCTGCCATAGAGATACTGTGTATGTGATACCACTCTTTTAGATTTTAGCCATTATACTTTACTGATAACAACAGTGAGAGATACATACAATTCTTGTTTGGTCTAACTTTCATATCTGATATCTCTAATAACTTTATAAGATAACAAATCAATAGTTAATTAATTAATCATTAACAAATAATAAATTTAATAAAGTTAGAAATTCCTGAAGTAGATGTTTTAAAATCACATTTTTGTTCAAATATACATGGAAATAAATAGATATTGTAAACATATATATGAACTTAATCTGGGACTATTTCTGTACTGTAATTCAGATATATGCTGCATAAAATAAGCACATATTTTATGTCTTATCAAGGTACATTTAAGGGTTTCATAGTTATTACTGAAGTCTTTTCTTTGATGGTAGTGTATGATTAAGTAGTCCAAATTAAGTGGACTTTGGAAAATAAAATATAACCAAGTATTGCTGAACACAAAAAATTTAGAACAAGATTAACATTCATATAAAAGTGAAAATATACACAAACGACTGGCTAAATTTTAGACAATACCTCATACAATGATTTAATATATTTATTTTGCAGATGATACAGCCCTTTAAATGATTGTCATATTGGACTGTTTTAAGAATGACAACATGTCCGGTCTATTGGTTTTATGCTCTTTCAGCCAAAATCTGCAGACAAAGTGTTCTGTACAAACAAAAGAATTTTGTAAACAATTATATTTGATAACTTGCAGTTTCTTCAAAGCATTATTCTTTAATTATTGGAATGAAACTAATGGACTGCACTCTAACCTAAAGTGGAAGACAAGATGGGGTCACTATAATTTTAGATTAGGGCTAATTTTTTCATACAATTCCTCCCCCCCACCGAAATTAAAGAGAGATGCCAGAATAAAATATGCCATAGTCTGTGGCTTACTTGAATATGAAAAAGAGCTTGATAAACAAAGCAAAGAAATATTGAAGTAGGATTCATATCTTCATACAGAAGATTCTTAAAGTGAATATAAAGATAAAACCAGAGACTTTTCTTTAAGGCCTAATGGACAAAGAAGTTGAAAAAAAAATGGAACTTTGATGTTATATATGCTGACAGCAACAAGAATGTTCTATGCACAAAAATGGAAAGATACTTTAATTCCCACAATGGATGGTTGGCTGCAAAAGCTGATGGAGTTAGCAGAGATGGCTAAATTTACTGTTTTAATTAAAGAAAAGAATACAATTTTGTATCTACTTAGAAATCACTTCTGGACTTTGGGCTTGAAGTAAAAAAAATTGATTTTGAGTTTTGCTGATCAGATAGGTTTTTTGTTATAGAAATGGCTCATAATATTATTATGTAAAAGTAAAAAGATAAGCTTGTATGTTATTACCTTATTCTAGTGTACTAAAAAGAGTTGGAAGTCAATGCTTTTTTTTAATTTCCCCCTTTACCCTACACTTTTTCCTCTCCTACTTTCCCATTATTTTCCTTTTCTTTTGTATTTTATATTTCAGTAAACTAATACATTATTAAAAAGAGCTTGATAGATATGCATTGGCCTAGAACAGTTTTTCTCAACCTTAACAACTTTAAAGTATGTGGACTTCAACTCCCAGAATTCCCCAGCAACACTGTTCTAGAGCAGGCATGTCAAACTGCTGGCCCGCGGACCGGATGTGTCATGCTGAAACCACGCCCACTCCATTGCCAGCGATGGAGAAAAAGTCGCGATACATCACACGTCACATGAAATTGCGAGTTTGACATGCCCGTTCTAGAGTAATGAAACATAAATCTACAAACATTTCTCTTCAACACAAAAATTAATTTTAATTTTTTAATTTTAATTATTCCTACTAGCATCTGAAAGCATTCCAATCTGGCTGCTTTATTCTTCTCCCTTCCTATCCCCCTGGCTCTGCTATTTATTTAACTGATAGTGCTACTGTGCACTAGATCTGTGTCATTGTTTTGCAAAGATCACCTATGAATATAAAATGTGTCCATTTGTCATTGGGATTATATTAGTGTAAGAACTCGGCATAAAACTGCAATCCCTTTTGAAATAATGTATTTCACAGCAAACTGCCAAGAATCCATTTCCCTCAAACCTTCACTTAGGCTTCAAACCCCATTTCCTGGTTTTCTTTGAGGATCCCCCAAACTACAGAAGAAATTTGGGGGTGTGCATCAGACTTCAGTTGATACCAGGAGACTTCCCCTGCATTAGATTCTGGCAGACATTCTATTAGACTTAAATTAAACTTCAGGAACAAATAATT